GCCACCAGACAGAACAGAGCGGAGGGTGGTGAGGGTCAGGGCGCCCCCCCCCCTTCTTCCTGGGCTGGCCCATGGCCCTGCTGGCGGGTTGCTGCCTGCCCCCACTCCCCTTATCATTTCTACAGCAGCCCCTCTCAAGGGGGCAAGTCACGCGGAGCAAAGAATTGAAAATGGTGCTCATTCCTTAGGGCGGCCTGCAGTGGCTTCTGTGGGGCCCAGAGCTTGCTTCCTGTCCAGAAGGAAGTGTCTTTAATGGCGCACAAAAACAGGCAGTTTGCTTGAATAGAGGATGGTCAGTCCTTTTAAAATTCAAAGAGAGCGAGATAGAGAAGAGGCGTTTCTAGGTAGAGCAGACGAGGCTCTGGCTTAAAGGAGGCATGCAGTTGTAATCAGCGGCCGAGAATGGAAGGGACCAGCTGCTGCTTGCTAATTGGCAAGTGTCTGGTCCAGTGAGCTCATCACTGATTAACAGTGTTTCACAGAGACGAGAATTCCACCCAGAATGGTGTTCCCTCACGCCACTGTCCACGCAGAGTGCACGGCCTCGTGGAGCCCCCTCCTCCTCCCCCCTGCCCCTCACTCACCTTCCCCCACAGCCTCTTCCTTCCCCCTCGGAGCTCACATTCCCTTGGGCTTAGGGGGCTGCCCTCCTTCGTCTCCCACCTCTGATGCCCATGCCCCACTCAGCTCTGCTTCCTCCTGGTGGGGGACCCCTCACACCCCGACATGCTCCAAGGAGGCCAGGCCATCTTTCTGGGGGGCACCAAGTGCTGGCTGCCTGGTGTCAGAGCCACAGTGGCGTGATGCTGAGGGGCCAGGGCCGTTTCCACGAGGGGAAACGGGGCGTGTGGCAACGGCCGAGCTTTGCCCTGGTGTAAGACCCTCCAGAGCTCAGGCTCGCCTGACCGTACGAGATCAGAAAGGACTGCTCTCAGAGCTCCTTCACAAAGCCGCACTCTCCTGAGTGGGAAATGTCCCCAAACTCTGTCGTGCCGGTGGTGTGCCAGGACAGAGCAGAACTGCCCTGTTGGGTTTCCCAGGTGGCCATCGGTATGCAGAGAGGGCTGCTGCATCTTTCTTCCTCGGAGCGGCTGGGGGGCGGTCTGAATTGCCCGCCTTCTGGTGAGCCATGACGCACCTCACCCATGGCGCCACCCTTAGGACTCTGACACCTTTAGAAACCCACCCACGGCCATCAAGTCAAGGCTAGCCCCATCCGCACGGGGGAAGCAGGCTGTCTGGGGGTGGGTGGGTGGGGTATCAGACTAGATGCTCCTTGTTATTTGTACACACGAGGTCCTTTCTAGCGAACGCAGTCCTGACCACAGGCCCCGCGCCGCCACGTGCCCTCTTGGCGGTGAAGCTTGGCCTCCGCTCTGGGCGTGGGAGCTCTGGCGGGACGGCGCTCCCCTCCTGACCCCCGTGTGTCTCCCACATCCTCAGGAGAACCCATAAGCAGCGAGCACCTCCATCGTGCCGTCAACGTGAATGATGAAGATCTGCTCATCCAAATCCTTCAAGGAGGGTGAGAACTCTACCAGGGGAGTGGGGATGGGAGTGTCTTGATTTTTGAAATAAAGGTCCTCGAAGCGCACAAGCCAGCTCCTGCTTTTCTAACAGTCCCAGGCCCTGGCCTGGGTCTCCGGTGGCCCCTGTGAGCTCAGCACCCTGAGCAGAGATGGTCGTCCAGGCCCTGCCCAGGTTACTTTGTCAGGGTTCCAGGCAGCATCCGAGAAGGAGGGAGGAAGTGCAGGTGTTTTCCTTGCTTCCCAGAAATAACTTCTGCACCTGGCTTGTATGCGCCCCCCCCCGCCCCCCCAATGCTTACATGTAACTCCCGATAGCACCAGAGAATTGCCACATGGGAGACTTTCTAGCGCAAACAGCAGGTAAGGCCCCGAGGGTCAAGGGCAAGGGGCCTACCTCACCATGGCCTTGACCTAACCCTGCCACCCACGTGCACAGCAAGCCAACCTCTTCCCACCCTACCCCCCCTCCCCAACCCCCCGGAAACTTTTTATTGTGAATTGGGTAAACATTTACAGAGCAAATCATCATTCAATGATTCATACATAGTTTGTTTCAACTCCTCTATTGCAATCCCCCCAATGTACCATTGTTTATCCCAT